GGTCACCTCCGGGGCAGGTGAGAATCGAACTCATGCGGAAGTGGCCTTAGATTCTCAGTGCTGTGCTTTAACCCACTGCGCCACCAGGGAGGGCCTAAATGTACAGTTTTTATAGTTACACATCCTATACTGCATTTCTCATTTTTATCAATGTGTTTGTGTTTGCCTCTACTGAGCTTTCGACTTCCAATGTTACCTAAGATTATCCAGGATCTCTATTTAAATAGTAAGTTATTTTCTATCCAATTGTTCACATAATTTAGTAACTATACGTTAACAGCCTACTGACTGTTAGATAGAGCAGAAGGTTTGAAATTAAACATCTCAGTAAAGACAATCAGCTATTGCCTGCATATATTCAAGGGTGAGTCAGCATAAGGAAGGCTCTTTGTATCTAAAGCTGTATTTTCTGGGGATATGTGGGACAAAACACACACACATACAAAATTTACTATCTTCACTATTTTTAAGTACAACTAAGTAGCATTAAGTACATTTACACTGTTGTACAGTCATCACCATTATCCCCTCCAGAACTTTATTATTCCAAGCCAAAAACTCATTAATAACCCCTCAGTAAGTCCCTCCATTGCCCGGTGATCTCTATTATATATTCTGTCTCAATGAATGTGCCTATTCTGGTTATTACATGTATGTAGAATCATACAGTCTTTTTTGCATAATGTTCTCAAACTTCACCCATGTTTGTAATACCATGTATTAGATTTTCATTCCTTTTTAAGGAAGAATAATACTCCATGTATGCATAAACCATGTTTTGTTTATTCATTCATCTGTTCCTGAATACCTGCGTTGTTTCCATCTTTTGTTTATGGTAAATAATGCTGCTATGAACACTTCCCAATCTTTTAAACGACAAAGTAATAAAGGTCAAATTTCCTTCACAGCAAAGTATCACCACATACCACTGTAAAAAGCTTTCGCTGTAATGGCTGGTATGATGTCACCTCTTTTAAAGTCCAAGCACAAGCCATGTTTGGTCTCTGTCCCATTCCACTACAAGGTGCATCAAGAAGAACTCGATCAAAAGATTCTGGTAAGAATGGCGGTTCCCCTATGAAGAAAATCATAAACATATTTGCTATCTGTCTTATTAGTCTAAAATAGAAAACCTCCAGATAGAACCAATTATCAGAAATATAAAATTATCACCTTGTATAGAAAGCAAAGAAAACCTATTTCTTCCTTCAATGAAGGACCTACAGAAACTAATTCAGATGTATATTTCATATAGATGTGTTTTGTAAAAATATTACATTTGTCTAGCCAGAGCAATAAGACAGGAAAAAGACATACAAGGAATCCAAATAGGGAAAGAAGAAGTAAAACTGTCCTTATTTGCAGAAGATATGTTAATATACATGGAAAACCCTAAAAATTACACAGAGAGGGCCCTCCCTGGTGGCGCAGCGGGTTAAAGCACAGCACTGAGAATCTAAAGCCGCTTCCGCATGAGTTCGATTCCCGCCTGCCCCGGAGGTGACCACATGGCGTGGCAGACCTCTCCTGGCCCGCCCGCTGCTCCCCTCAGCAGTGTACTTCGTCAATCTGCCTGTTCTGCTCCCCACTCTGTCTCTGGTGAATCCTCTCACCCTCCGCATCTCTGGCCTGTACCCCAGTTCTGTATGAATAAATAAATAAATCTTTAAAAAAAAAATTAAAAAAAAAAATTACACAGAGAAACTAATCAAAACCATCAACCAGTTTACCAAGGTAGCAGGAGTAAAATCAGCACACAAAAATCAGAGGCCTTCCTATACATAAACAACCAATCAGAAGAAACAGAAATTTAAAAAAAAAAAAATCCCCTTTTCAATTAAAACAGAAAGAATCAAATACCTGGGAATCAACCTTAAAAAAGGGAGTAAAAGACCTATACAAAGTAAATTACAAAACACTGTTAAAATAAAAACAAGAAGACACCATGAAATGGAAAGACACCCCCTACTCATGGATCGGGAGAATTAACATCATCAAAATGGCCACCCTGCCAAAAGCAATATACAGATTTAATGCCATCCCAATAAAAATCTCAATGACATTCTTCAAAGAAATATAAAAAATATTGATGAGGTTCATATGGAACAACAAAAGACCTCGAACAGCCAAAACTCTCATGACTAGGAAGAAAGAGAATAGAGGCATTACGATCCCAAACTTCAAGCTATACTACAAAGCCATAATAATCAAAACTGCATGGTACTGGAACAAGAATACACATACAGACCAGTGGATGTGGATAGAAATCCCAGATATAAACACACAGGTTTATGGACAGCTAATCTTTGACAAAGGAGAAAAGAAGATACATTGGAACAAAGAAAGTCTGTTCAGCAAATGGTGCTGGGAAAACTGGGAAGCTATACACAAAAAAATGAACCTGGATCACTACCTCTCACTATACATAAAAATCAATTCAAAGTGGATTAAGACCTAGACATAAGAACAGAAACCATAAAATTCCTGGAAGCAAAGATTGGCCAAACAATACATGACATATACTTTAAAGATAGAGCACCCAAAGCAACGATAGTGAAGGCAAGAATAAATAGATGGGACTACATCAAGCTAAAGAGCTTCTGTACAGCAAAAGAGACATTACAAAAAAAAAAACAGACATCCTTGGGCCCTCCCTGGTGGCACAGCGGGTTAAAGCACAGCACTAAGAAGCTAAAGCCACTTCTGCATGAGTTCGATTCCCACCTGCCCCAGAGGAGAT